CTTTTTCTTTGGTTTTCTCATTTTTTTTGGAGGAAATGTTGTTTAGGTTAAACATGTATTAAGGTAGGATTTCAGGGCACGATGCCATTAATTTATGTCTAGGATAGCATGGGATGCCTTTGTGCATAGCTAGGTGACAAACCATGGTCATTTTCATGTTTTGGCCTAATTCTTGATGGAATTCAATGAAATACATCCTTCTATTAGGGTGATGTAGATCTGTATTTTGGTTCATCCAGCCTCGCTTAAGTTAGAAGTGCTAAAGAAAAGAATTATAGAAGTTCCTTTCGTTGCTGAAAATGCAAAAACCCCAGTGTTCTTACATAGCAGTTTTCTTGCCAATGAAAAAAATGAAGGTAACAATGTACAAAAATGATCTGTGTGTGTGTGTGTGTGTGTGTGTGTGTGTGTGTGTGTGTGGTGTGTGTTTGGTTTAAAAAAAATACATTGGATGACATGGAACTAGTTTGAGAATATTTGCTTTGATATCACTTTAATTTTATCAAGACTTGTATTTGTTTTACTTTTGCCTTGGAGCGTCCTGGTCAAGTGCATGTCTTGTTGCCAAGCCCCTCACAAAACTGGACATATAGTTTGGCCTTGGCCCAGCTGGTTTGTGGGTTAGAGCTGCTGAAGAAAATGCATTCATTTGTTCATTCATCAAATACTTATTGAGCATATACTATGTTCCATGCACTGCTGTAGGAGCTGGAGGCATAGCAGTGAAGTAAACAGGAAAATGTCTCTGCCGTTGTATGTTCTAGGGAAGGGAGATGGACAAAAAAAAAAAAAAAGTACAGTATGTTAAGAGGCAATTAAATGCTATGGACATAATAGAGTGTAGGAAATAAGTACCAGAGGCAGGTTGAAGTTTGAAATAGTGTAGTCAGAATGGGACCAGTGGAAAAGGAAATATCTGAGCAAAGACTTAGAAATGATAAAGTGAGACCTGAGATTAAATGGAGGGAAAGCCATTCCAGGCAGAGGCATTAACACATGCAAAGGCCCTGAGGTAGTAGCATACTGACTATATTCCAGGAGCGGTAAATGGACCAGTGTGGCTACACAACACAGAATGAGTAAGGAGAGAGGCAGTAGGAGAGGAAGGTGGTAGAAATAAGAGGTAAGAGAATGGACAGGAGATTATAGGGCCCTAAAAGCCATTCCCAGGCCCTCGGCATCTACTCTGAGGGAAATGGTGAACCAATGGAATGTTTTGAGCAAAGGAGTGGTAAGATTTAGCGTTTGTTCATTATGGGTACTATGTTGAGATTAGATTGTAGAGAACAAGGGTAGACACAGGCGGACTCACAGGTAAAGTGTTGGATTAATCCAAGTGAGAACTAACAGCAGCTCGGACCAGTAGGTAGCAACGGAGGTCATGAGAAGAGAAATGACTAGAGTCCGTCCTATTTTGAAGGTAGAGCTGACAGGAGCTCCTGATAGCCTGGATGTGAGATGTGAGGAGAATAGGGGTGTGTGCAGGACTTCCAGGTTTGGAACCTGGCCAACCAGAAAGGATGCAGTAGGTTTTAGGGTAAAGCTGTTAGGAGCTGAGTCCTGAAGGTATTCAGCTGGAGACGTCCACTTGACAACAAAGGGAGGTGTCCATTAGGCAGTTTGAATAAACACATCTGGGTTTCAGCAAAGGGGTTGGAAATTTAAATTTGTGATACAACGTATGTAGCATTAAAAGCCACAAGACGAGGGGCGCCTGGGCAGCTCAGTCGGTTGAGCCTCCAACTTCGGCTCAGGTCATGATCTCACAGCTTGTGGGTTCGAGCCCCACATCCAGCTCTGGGCTGGCAGCTCAGAGCCTGGAGCCTGCTTTGGATTCTGTGCTCCCTCTCTCCCTGCCCCTCCCCCGCTCATGCTCTGTCTGTCTCTGTCTCAAAAATAAATAAACATTAAAAAAAAATTTTTAAAGCCATGAGACAAGCTGAGATCACCCAATGAGTCAGTAATCAGTAAGAATAGTGCAGTTCCAGACCTGGGGCTTGGAGCACTCCCAGGGCAAGAGGTCAGAGTAGAAAGGGTGGACCAGCAACGGGGTGGCCAGTGAAGTGGGAGAAAAACCAGAAGAGTCCAGTGTCCTGGAAACCAAGTTCAGAAAGTACTTCTGGGAGGCAGCAGTGATGTATTATGTTCAGTGCTGTGGAGGAGACAAGAATGACGAGGACTGAATACTGATGGTTTCGGGATGAGGACGTCATTGGTCAACACTCCAGAAACACTGGAAGTATCATTTCTAATACTTAAAAATATTTTTAAGTCTTTATTTATTTTTGAGAGAGAGACAGAGTGTGAGCAAGGGAGGAACAGAGAGAGAGGGAGGCACAGAATCCAAAGCAGGCTCCAGGCCCTGAGCTGTCAGTACAGAGCCCGAACCCACTAACCATGAGATCATGACCTGAGCCGAAGTCAGACGCTCAACCGACTGAGCCACCCAGGTGCCCCTCTAATATTTTAAAGGAGATCACGGGGATGACTGGTTGATGAAGGCCGCATCCTGTGACTCTGATGGCGCAGTTTTGCAGGGCGACAGCTTTAGTGAGTGGAACCCTGGGGAAAAGGGTTGCACGGGGCATACAATCTGATCGGACGAACCTAAGCGGAACTCTTTCTACCCACCGGTTTCCTAGCCTGTGGGACTTCTTGGCTCTGTGTTTGTGGAAGTGGCAGAGAGGGAAAGGAGGAATGCCCTGAAGACGCACAGATAGAGATATTTCTGATCAATTCTGGCTGGAATATTTCAAGCCCTTCATTTTGGGAAGTGACTAGAGCTAATTGATTGAATGTCAAATTGTAAAGAAAGATGCCTAGAAACCATTTCGTTTGCGTGTGTTATTTGCATTCTCTTTCTTTTTGCCCTCAATGTGGCCATTAATTTCTGCATGAAATAATAACAGACATAACACCATGTAAAGATTATGTTTTACATCACGTACATAAGAAAATCGATATTGGCCAAGAAGACAATAAAAATGCATGCGAGGGTGCCTGGGTGCCTCAGTCGGTTAAGTGTCCGACTCTTCATTTCGGCTCAGGTTATGATCTCATGGTTCGTGAGTTCGAGCCCCGCACCTGGCTCTGTGCTGACAGTGCAGAGCCTGCTTGGGATTCTCTCCCTCTTTCTCTGTCTCTCCCCTGCTTGCTGTCTCTCTCTCTTTCTCTCTCTCTGTCAAAATAAATAAATAAACTTAAAAAAAAATAAAATGAGTCTCAGGGATACAGAATTATATCACTAGTGCATTTATCTACGAGTTACTCTTCATATATTGCTTTATTTCAGTAGCTGGATGATAATTATCTGACATTAACTAGCTCTGTTGGGGGCTGTGGATGATTTGTAGCTATGTCCAGTTTCTGTGGGATAAGTGGGACATCCATCATGTCCCATTTCAGACCACCAACATGAAGTCATTTGGACCCACCCGCAAAAGTCACACAGTGGACTTGGGAGCCAGTGGAAGCTGGTTCGAGCACACCCTTGTTTTATTAATGTGCAGACAAATCTTGTTTCTGTCTGAAACCAGCAAATTAAAAAGAAATTAAAATTAAGAAAGGAAAATGGAAATGTTATATAATTAACATTATAGTTATATTATATATATATAATTATAATATATGTAAATATTTATAAAGGTAGTTTTAATCCTTATTTCAAAATGATAAATGTAGGTTCAGAGACGATAATCCCTTGGTCCAGGATCAAATCTTAGAATCAAGACTTGAACCCAGACCTACCGGACTACAAAATCCGTGCTCTCTCCCCTAAACCAATGTCTGGAAGCTCCAGAACATTATCCATGAATCAGTAGGATAAATTCTCTATGGTAATCACCATTTCAGTGACATAATACTAGTATTATAGTAATAACATTAACTATATCCTCTATACAAAACTGAATTTTAAATTACTAAATGAAAAAAAAATATTTTGATGGGTCACATTTTGTAGCATATGTATTCCTCTTGGATTACACATACTCCCCCAAATTATAAACCCTTCATCAGTATGGTGGTCAGGTCATGCATTTATTCCAGTTTGTTTCCAGGAACGCTACTCAAAAGAGAAAGCAGGAAAGATACCTTGTGGTGGTTGTTGTTCTTTCTTAAAAAACAACATCTTTTTAATGTTTATGTATTTTTGAGAGAGGGAGAGAGACAAAGAGTGAGCAGGGAGGGGCAGAGAGAGAAGGAGACACAGGATCTGAAGCAGGCTCCGGGACTCTGAGCTGTCAGCACAGAGCCCGATGCAGGGCTCTAACTTGTGAACTGCGAGGTCTTGATCTGAGCTGAAATCTGACGCTTAACCGACTGAGCCACCCAGGCACCCCATGGTTTTTATAATAATACCTGGTTTTACAGTGTGGAGGTTCCTCAAAAAATTAAAAATAGACCTACCCTATGACCCAGGAGTAGCACTGCTAGGAATTTACCCAAGGGATACAGGAGTGCTGATGCATAGGGGCACTTGTACCCTAATGTTTACAGCAGCACTTTCAACAATAGCCAATAGCCAAATGATGGAAAGAGCCTAAATGTCCATCAACTGATGAATGGAAAAAGAAATTGTGGTTTATATACACAATGGAATACTACGTGGCAACGAGAAAGAATGAAATAATGGCCTTTTGTAGCAACGTGGATGGAACTGGAGAGTGTTATGCTAAGTGAAATAAGTCATACAGAGAAGGACAGATACCGTATGTTTTCACTCCTATGCAGATCCTGAGAAACTTAACAGAAGATTGTGGGGGAGGGGAAGGAAGAAAAAAAAGTGGTTAGAGAGGGAGGGAGCCAAACCATAAAAGACTCTTAAAAACTGAGAACAAACTGAGGGTTGATGGGGGGTGGGAGGGAGGGGAGGGTGGGTGATGGGTATTGAGGAGGGCACCTGTTGGGATGAGCACTGGGTGTGGTATGGAAACCAATTGGACAATAAATTTCATATTAAAATAATAATAATAATACCTGGTTTTATATTTGCTCTCCAGGGTACTACATGTACATCGAGGCCTCCCACATGGTGTATGGACAAAAAGCACATCTCTTGTCCTGGCCTCTGAGAGGAGTCACCGGAAAACACTGCTTGACCTTTTTCTACCACATGTATGGAGCAGGGACTGGCCTGCTGAGTGTTTATTTGAAAAGGGCAGGCGATAGTGAAGAGTCCCTCTTATGGCGAAGAAGAGGCGAACAGAGCATTTCCTGGCTACGGGCGCTGATCGAATACAGTTGTGAGTCCCAGCACCAGGTAAGCCAAAGGGGAGAAGAACGAAGTGAGAGCAAATGTTCCTGTGAGCTTCTGATCTTTTTCTTGCTACCAAAGAGAATGTTCTGTTCTGTTTTCAGGGTCATAGATAAAGACAGTACATGTTTAAAAGTAAACATAATTAGTCTCTATTGATTAAATCTAAGCAGTGAATGGGAGATTAGGCGGCGAGAAAAAGCTTTGGGTATTTACGCATAAAGTGATTTTTGCAACTCAATGATGAAAGGGTAGCTATTTTTGTCTTGGCACATTCTGAATGTCAAGTGTATTCTCTGCGTCCCGCACGTCTCCCAAACAGTCTCCTCTTCTTCTAAACATGGTATTACCTAATTAGTATTTTCCAGCTGCGTCTTTCCCTCGTCATTACCCACACACGAGGGCTTTGGTTGCAAGCCTCTATTTAAGAGTGCATGGTCCACAGTCAATTATTAAGCCTCTGTCTGCATGGGTTTAGAAGAAACTGAGTCCCGGTCCCAATTCCTGAGTCTTGCCCTGGGTTTTCTCGTGTGCTGTAGGAGACCTCCATCCCACAGCATCTAGACTATGAGAGACTGTAGGCAGTGACAGGAAAGAGCCTTTCAAATGCCAATGGGTGAGGCTGAGCAGCCCATCTGGTCTAGAGGTGAGCAGGCCCTCCTGACAGCTACTGACTCCCCCTGCCTACCATGAGCCAAAGCTCCAGAAGGCTCTGGGAAGATAACCTTCGGACCCTGACATTCCTGAAATTGCTCTGTAGAATTCTCAGCTGTGAACTTCTACTAAAAGCCCTGCTTTCTCCTCATCCTTGCTTCTGACTGATCAACCTCTTGGATCAGCACCCCTCCGCTTTAACCACTGGCTTGTTTGGTCTAAGCCCAAATCTCCCTGGAAGAGGTGTTCAGAATAAGGGCTTTATTTTATACCATCGCACAAACACCCTGAATTTCCTGCGGATCTAAACGGGAAGGAATTGCAGAAGTTCAGGGGGCCAGGTTGCAGGGCCATCGAGGGTGCTGTGTTGCTAAAGAACAAGTGACTGAGGGCAAATGAGCCATTATCTGGGGGTGGCCCATTATCCTGGCATGGATAAACCTGTCTAGAGATTTAGGAAAGAATAACAGATAGCTCCAGAAATGATTTGGATGGTGCTTTAATGTCCGCTACGGAAGAAAAGCAGATCATTCAGGAGCTTAATAATATAACTGATCATCATTCTGAGATGGTGGATTAATTTCGTTCGGCTATCCGGGCACCCCTACTTCTACCCTGTTTGGATGTTCTCCAAGTGTGGTCCTGAGACCAGCAGCAATGCTTGAAGTGCAAACCCACCTCAAATGACATTGACCTAAAAGGCACACTCTCGGGCCGCACTTCAGAACTACTGAACCAGATACTCTGAGGGAGGGGTCCAGAAATCTATGTTTTAACAAGCCCTCCTGATGATTCAGATGTGCACTAAAGACAAAGCATCTCTATCCCAGAGCAAGTGGGTCTGAGTCAAGTGCAGCCCGAGTGTTGATGTTTTTGTGATTCCCGAAGGGTGCTAATGCACTAGACCTCTGGGGAACAGGTGACTTGTCAGCGTCTAATCCCAGGAAGTTGAGTACAAGGCCTTGAATATGCTAGACTTGCTGGGTAGCTGGTTGTTTGAAATGGTTTTTGATCCCAGAAGTAATTAGGCATCTATTGGTATCTACCCTCTACCCTCGTGGGGTATTCAAATTCAAAGGGTGCAGAATGGCCTGAGAGGTTTTTTTAAGTTTATTTTCATTTATTTTGTGAGGAGGGAGGGGCAGAGAGAAGGGGAGGCAGACTGTCCCAAGCAGGCTCCACATTATCAACACAGAGCCCAACTCGGGGTTCAAACTCACAAACTGTGAGATCATGACCTGAGCTGAAGTCAAGAGTCCGACGCTTAAGCAACTGAGCCACCCAGGCACTCCTGGCCTGGGAGAGTTTTAGCTCACAACTTTGTAAGAACCAAGACTCCAGACCATTCCCTTTGTCTTAGAATGGAACAGATATGAATCTGCCCTGAGGAATTTCCTTCTGGATTTAGTGATTCCCTCAGGAATCCCAAATGCTATCTGGAGACCAGGCTGAAGCTAGTTTCTCCAAAACATCTTAGTGTCTAATAAAACACAGACACATCCACATGAATAAATTGGCCATCTTTTACGTGCCAGGCACTTACAGCACTAGGAGCTATACGTAAGTTCTTCCTGTTGATCTTGTAGCTCCTCTTGACAGAAGGAGAAACTCAATGTCCAGCTGGTAACTGACAGTGTGAGAATTCAGGCCCAGATCTGAGTGGTCCCCAAGTGTGTATCCCTAAGCCACGGTTCCACACTCTCTCTCTTCATCAGTATGTTGATCAAGTCATGAATTTATTACAATTTGTTTCCAGGAACACCACTCAAAAGAGAAAGAAGAAAATCAGTTCCAAAATAAACTCATTCCCCTGGGTGTCATAAGCCCTGGGTGATCTTGGGGAAATCTCATCCTCCCTGAGAGTGTTCGTACATTTTCAAAATGGGGTAATAATTCCTGCCATGCTGACATCACCAGAGTTAGAGGGTCAGTGAGGTTATGTATGTGAAAGGGTTTTATAAATTTTAAAATCCCAAAGTATAAAAATATATTATTGTTTCTAAAAATGTGTTCCCTCCCAAATATCTCTGGTCTCTAATTCATATCACCATGGCAACCCTGGTATTCTCAATAGTTACATTGGCGTCCAGACTGAGTTCCTAGAGTATGAGGCCAAAATATCTCATTTTGGTAAATATTTGTTGACTGCTGGCTATTCTAAGTGCTGAGGATGCAGCAATGAACATAACACGTAAAGCTCCTCTTCTTTTAGAGTTGACATTCTAGTCGGGGAGAGGTAGAAAAAGTAAATCAGGGGCGCCTGGGTGGCTCAGTCGGTTGAGCGTCCAGCTTCGGCTCAGGTCATGATCTCACAGTTTGTGGGTTCAGGCCCCGCGTCGGGCTCTGTGCTGACAGCTCGGAGCCTGGAACCTGCTTTGAATTCTGTGTCTCCCTCTCTCTCTGCTCCTCCCCTGCTCATGCTCTGTCTCTCTCTCTTTCTCCTTCAAAAATAAATAAAAACATTCAAAAAAAATTTTTTTAAAAAGGAAAAGTAAACCAAAGATATATAATGTACTATCAAGTACATTATAATAAATGCTATGGTGGGGGGCATCTGGGAGGTTCAGTCGGTTAAGCGTCCGACTTCAGCTCAGGTCATGATCTCTCAGTTCACAAGTTTGAGCCCTGCATCTGGCTCTGTGCTGACAGCTTAGAGCCTGGAACCTGTTTCAGATTCTGTGTCTCCCTTTCCTTCTGCTCCTCCCCTGCTCGTGTTCTCTCAAAAAAAAAATTTTTTTTTAATTAATAATACTAAGTGCTATGGAAAAGAATAGGTCAAGCCAAACAGGTACTGAGATCAAAGAAGTATCAGGGCATAATTGTGAAAGGCTTTGAACATCATGGTAGAGTTTGAAATTTATTCCAGAAGCAATGAGGAACCATCAGATGGCTTTAAGGTAATGTGATCTGGGTTTATATTTTTAAATGATCACTCCAGCCACTATGTGGAGAATAGACTGTAGGGGACAAGGAGACTTTGGGGGCTACTGCAGTGGTGCTGGCAGAAAGAGTGAGTGGCAGGGGTGAGATGCATCAGAAGCCCACGGGATTTCTTACATGTGGAATGTGGGGCTTGAGAGAAAGAGGCATCAAGATGCCTCCTTGAGTTTTGGCCTGAGTAACCAGTAGAACGGAGTTACCATTTCCTGAGTTGAGGAAGGCTTTCGGTGGAGCACATCTGGAGGTGCGAAGGCAGTGCGCATGGGAGGGAAATTAACAAGTGAGTTTTTCAGACACGCTTAGTTTTCTGTGTCAGACATCCACGTGGGCATGTCAGGTGAGCATAGGTGATGAGACTGAAGTTCAGAAAAAAGAACAAGGCTGGAGGAGTAGATGTGTGCCTCACTGGTGGCGGTGGGCAGGTGTGGATGGCTTTCAGAGTGGTATCGTACTGCCACTGTTTGTTTGAGACTCACCCTCTAGGGGAGGTGAGTGGGTGGCCTCCAGATGACATTCCAATCATCCTACCATCCTTGTAGGCGAAGTGCACCAAGTGGCAACCTTTTAATCATGCTCCTTCCTAAGTGCTAAGCTGTACCTGACTTGCTATTGATCAAAAACACAACGTGATTTTATTTCCTTTGGATTCCTTGCTTAACATTTCCTCCTGTGCTCTCTCTTCTTTCCTCCCTGGGTTCTTTTATTTTGATGCCATTGAAAGAAAGAATGTGTTAGACAAATTCTTAGCTCATCGAAATATTTATATCATTCATATTGTTCATTATACTGCCTAACATTTAGTAAGTATTATTATGTGCTAGGTACTCATTTAGGACCACGTTTCCAAATTTTCTTGTTCATGGTATGCTTAGTCTCATTAATGTTTTTTCTGGTGTTCCTAGACCAAAAGCAATACCTAAGAGTTTCATTTATTAAGTAGTTGCAGACAAACAACTTAGTATTTATGTCCTAACGACTTAGTAGACATTTGGAAAAATAGTACACTTAAATTGAAGGAAAAAAATAAATTTTTATCTAATTCTTAAATAACCACAATTATTTACTAATAGAATGTGTATATATAGGACAAGGGAAAAATCATAATGGTATAAAATAGTTACCACTCAGGTAGTAAGGAAATTCAGAGGAAAAGGTTGTATAAAATCAAGTATTTGGCCCAACCACGGACTCTTCAGAATATAATTCCATCAGGTAATTTGTGTATTATACTTTCGTTGTAGACTTGGTGGTCAAAAACCAGATTTTATTGATGTCCAGAAAACCAAAATGGTTATTAACTGCACTCATATATCCTCCTATCGATGTATTAGAGGACATTTTTTTCCTCTTCTAACCATTTATTTGTATTCTTGTTTGGGATTGTGTCCTTAGAATTTTAAATAATATTATTGTGCCCATATCTGTCATTAAAGCTTCTTTGAGTCATTAATTTTAAGATAGTTTCATATGCTTATTAATTATCCACTTTATATTCTTTGATTTAATTTAAATCATAAACTAGTCCAAGGGGGAGTCATTTGCTCATAAAGTGAGTAGACCAAACGTGTCTTCTGGATAATTTTCATTACCCACAAGCCTCCCTGGAGTATTCAGTGGTTTATTAACCATTGTTGGGGCAGCGTTCGAGCTGGTAATGTAAGCTATTTTGCCTAGAACCTGAATATTTGATCAGTTATTTTCTTCTCAGGATCTGAAGTTATGAAACTGGTTCTCTCCTCCTGGGCTATTCTTGGATGTTATGGTATTTAACACAATAAGCGAACCGTTGCCTTTTTGGTAAACTTAGTGATTATATATCACCATAGATTTGTAGAGAGCCTAAGAAAACTTAAACTTCTGGGCCTATGACTTTCATAGGCCCTGTGAGTGCTGGGTCTAGAATATTCGAGGTGGGAAAGAGAAACTAGGTCACCACCAGGAAGCATTTCTAGGTAAGCATTTCTGGTTAATGGCCTAAAGAGATCTCAGAAGCAACCTAAATCTCCAAGACTCTAGTAATTTATTGTGCATTTCTTTAAAATTCCAAATAAGTACTCTCTTTTGTACCTAAATTTGAATTTGTGATTTTGTAGTCTTTTCCTTAAAGGAGGTTGAACAACAGTCTAAGCTTCCAGACCCACACAACATGGATCTTCCCCTGATGAGTATTGTTTTATCAAGATGACTTCATTTCTAAAATGTTTTTTAATGTTTATTTATTTTTGAGAGAGAGACAGAGTATGAGTGGGAGAGAGGCAGGGGGGCGGGGGTGGTGGGGAGACACAGAATCTGAAACAGGCTCCAGGCTCTGAGCTGTCAGCACAGAGCCTGACACGGGCTCAAACTCACGAACCTCAAGAACATGACCTGAACCGAAGTAGGACGTTTAACCGACTGAGCCACCCAGGTACCCCAAGATGACTCCATTTCTAAATTCAGACCTCATTACTTTTCAGGTAATTTTTGAAGCCATTCGGGGAGTGTCAATAAGAAGTGATATTGCCATTGATGATGTTAAATTTCAAGCAGGACCCTGTTCAGGTAACAATATTTTCCCCAATTATATCCTCTTGATTGAAAAGGGATTTTGCAGTAGTCTCAAATCATAAGAATGCAAATTAAGAATTTTTCTATAATAAAAACAGAGAAAACTATTTTTGTCTATTTTCTATTTGTCTTTCCTGACAGAAATGGAAGATATGACCCAGCAGTCATCAGGATATTCTGAGGATTTAAATGAAATTGAGTTTTAAGAAATGATCTGAATTGGATGAGCTAAACAAGAGCCATACCTCTCTTCAATCAAAATAAACACAAAACAAATAAATACCGGACAGTCTTAACCATTTTGTGAATTATAAAACGACTTCACAGCACAGTATTCTTTTTCATTACTTTTGCAAAAAATACTGACTCAGGGCTTTTTGGTGTTTTTGTTTTTGGTTTTTGGGTTTTTTTTTTCCTTTTTGCGTATGACAACTGTTACGGAAATACAGGCTATTGATTTTGCGTAGATCATTCATCTTAATTTTGGTTCCAGTTAGAAATACAAATATACTATATTGCAGTCACTTTAAAGTATGCAAATGGAAGGGCACAATCAAAATGAGATGTGTCATTTAAATCTGCATTCAGTGAATGTATTGGGAGGAGAGGATGTCTCGTGGGTTTCTTTTTGAATTTCAAGTATCGCAGCTGTTTTTAAAGTAATAATGTGAGGTGTCAGTATCTGCAGAATGAATGCAGTTTTTCATGGTAACAAGTTAGTCTAAGAAAATAAAATCTTATTTTCTACGTTTTATTCATAGAAATGGAGTGTTAATTGTTAAATATTTTTACCATACGTGATAACTAAGGATCTTTCCTGAATGTCCCAGGGTAAGTCAGTATTAATTAATGCTGTATTACAAGGCAATGCTACTTTCTTTTTCCCCCCTTTGAACTACTTTGGAAAGTCACTATGAACACATGGATTAGAAATTGCACTCTTTTTTTGTAAAGCAAGCTTGAAAATGTTTATGTACACACACCTGAAAATTTTTAGGACATGTTAAGCAATTTTACTGATTTTTATAATAAATGTTTTGGTAAGGTTTTGAGGAGTATGAATTCAAGCAGACATACTAAACTGCTGCTTTTTATTTACGTGCTTAGAAAATTGTACATACGTATTTTATACCCAAACAGCTGTTTTAAGATTACCTAATAAAAGGTAATTTGAAAATCTTTTCCCTAGCAATGAACTCATTTCTATGTTATTTTCCTTGTTCAGAATATCTTCGGTACATAACTGCAGATTCTAATTTGAATTTCTGCTCTGCCAATGTTAAATTCTTCTTATGCCTTCTATTAGTGACATGAGCATTGCTTACATTGATACAAGAATTGATTTTTATTTATTTATTTTTAAAAATTTTTGTTTATTTTTGAGAGAGAGTGGGGGAGGAGCAGGGAGAGAGGGAGACAGAGAATCCCAAGTAGGCTCCCCACTGTCAGTGCAGAGCCCTGACGTGGGGCTCAAACTCATGGAGAGATCATGACCTGAGCCATAATCAAGTAGGACGTTTAACTGACTGAGCCACCCAGGTGCTCCAAGAATTAATTTTTGGAGTGTTTTATTTTATATAAGCTAACTTACTTTTTCACCACATTTTATCCTATTACAACGTAAACACTATGAGGATGAGGATTCTTGCATGTTTTGTGTTACTTTTGTAGTCTCTGTACCCAGAAGAATGTCTGGTATGTAGTACGTGTTCAATAAAGAAATAGTTGTTGAATGAATGAATGAATTTAAGCCTTCCAACATCCTCCAAAATGGAGATATTATTAGTTTTTTTTACAGAGAAGGAAACCGAGGTTCAGAAGAGTGAACACATTATTTAAGTGGAAGAGTAGAGTCAGGTGTCTCTGACCCCAAAGTCCATACCTCTTCCTGCTTTGTACGGCCAAAAATCCATGGTCCTCACAGACTTGGGTGGTATTCTCACTGAAGAATGTCAAAACTCTTCAGGTGCCTGGCTGTGTAGCTCAGTCGGTAGAGCATGTGACCGTTGATCTCGAGGTTATGAGTTTGAGCCCCACATTGGACATAGGGATTACTTTTTTAAAAAATGTCAAAACTCTTAAGTTAATCCATAAAGAGTAGTATACTTCCCTGAAGACCACAGTGCTTGGAAAACAAAAATTCTCAACTGTACAAAATTAACATCCTGAGGTTTATGGAGAAAATAAACTTCTGTAGTAAAGCAAAATTTTGCAAATCACATCCTTTCTATTCATGATGATTTTAAGTAAGTAAGTAATTAATTATCTATTAATCCCTAAATAAAGCTGAAACATTGAGGAAGGAAGATTTCAAGGTGTGAAGCAACTCAACAGTATGCTAGACGGTATAATCTCCTCAACCTATTATTCCTGTCCAGAGCTTAGTTATATTTGCTGAATAAAGAAATGAAAATTGTGTCTCTGGGACTTAACACAGTACCTTCATGCATAGCAAGTCACTTATAGTGACTGAAGTCATTCACCAACCTCCTTGCTTATAGATTACGTAAATCCATAGTAATAATCAGAGCTAACATTTATTGGATTTTTCTATCTTCAGACATTTTTCAAAGGGCTTTATGTGAATTCACTCATTTAATCCTGATAACGACTCATGAAGTCGATCTAGTGATATTTCCATTTTATAAATAGGGAAACTGAATTTGTCCAAGTTCAGCAGCTAGTGTAGGGCTTGGGTTTGAACCTGGGCGTGTTTCACTGCCAAACCTGCGTTCTGATCTTTGACTGCCTCCTGAACCTGCCAGCCCTCCGGTTGACTTCACCCCCAATACCAATTTAAACCTCAGGCAAAAGTTCCAGGTTTCTCTCACTCCAGAGGATTTATTGGCTACCAAAATTACCCCAAAGGTTGCCAAACTAGAAATACTACTTGGGCCTCCGGCTTTGGTAATTGGGGAGAAAAAAAATGAGGGTTGGCAAGTAGTTATTAGGGAAGAAAGGAAAGGAGTAATTGTTACCAGTTGTTGCTAAGAAACAACCTGAAGTTCATACAGAAGAGAGGAGGTAGAAGGTGAGTGGATTAATGTACCTTCCTCACTTCTGTTCCTTTTGGAGGATTCAGATTTTGGATGCTTCTCTTCCTGCCCAGGTTACCCATGGCATTCATTTTAACTATACTTCGCCTGGATGAAAATACGAAAGGCTACTTAGCACAGTATAGTTTCCTCAGGTTTAGAAATGCCTTGTGGGAAAGCGTACTAATAGGTACCACGCGGTATTTGCGTTGATTTTAAATCTTCTCTAAACACACAAGTGCTTCGAAAACAAGCTACTTTCTCCACACAGATTGCCTTCTCCCCTACAATTTGCTGTGTGGGTTGGAGATTATTTGTGTGTAGAAGGGAGTGGAGGAGAAAACAGTAGCTCTGATAGAGGGTCTGGTTTAATGTGGAGGAAGAAAGGGTTCAGCAAAGATTCAGTGAGAAATCTACACTCCAGGCATTTTGCCAAGCATGGAGGTTATGAAGATACTCACAGATTAGTGAGGAAGACACAGGTCCAAACCGATCAGCACAACTTGGAGTGCTAAATCCAATGAGGTCATATGCCCAGGTGCTATGGAAGGGTCTCGGAGGGGCATCTGACCAGGAAGGGCAGGGCCAGCCTCCCGCGGCAGCCCAGGCTGAGGTGAGAACCAAAGGAGACCTCCTAAGGCAGCGTTCCAGGTGCACGGATGTCCTCTGTGACTCTCGGGGTGGAGACTGGCCTCTCTTCCTTCTTATTCCCCTATAGGAGACGTGTTTTCCAGGGTGATTTAACCAGAACTTGGGGCAGTAGGTGGGGAGATTTTTCATAAGTAATCAATCATTCTAGTGTCACATTCTCTACGTGCTAATTGCTTTACAGATTGATACGGCATAGTGATTAAACACAGGGTTTCTGGATTCAGGGTGTCTCTGTTAAAATCCCGGCCTTGCCTTTTTCCGACTTCGGGACTGGGGGCAAGTCACTGACACCCTCTCTGATCCCTATTCTTAGAAGAGAGAGAAGTAGAGACTCCTTGTCTACTTCTTAGTAGGTTGCTGTAAAGATGAAATGAAAATATTACCTATCAACGCTTAGTGTCTAACACATGCCATTCTAGTTTATACTGAAAGGTCTGAGTGGGTGTTTGGTTTTGGGTTTGGGTTTTTTTTTTTGATAAATTGTAGTTATTTTTAATGTATTCTTTCTCTACAAAGAACTGTGAGTTTATAGTGCCATCTTAAGGATAAAACAACCATATAATCTTGTTATTTTATCACGTTTTTCTTTTTTACTAGCGATCCTAGGCTCATTTTAACCAGCAGCTGGGTAAATGCCTTCTCCTTTGCTCTCCCTGTTCCATCCACTGTTCCTGGTTCTGGGCTGCCCACTCTGTATATATACCCTAGGAAGATTTATTATGCTAAACCTAAAGTCGTGTTTTCATGCCTATCTCCTCAAGAATGGTTGCTTTTCCAATTTTGTATCCCCACTGCCTACCATGCTCAACAAATATATCTGCATTAAATAAGAAAATGCTCAATAAAAGTAGTTTAATACGAATCTGTATGTGTGTTCCAAGCATCATAAGGGATATAAACATTCTCTTTCTGTCCATGAACATTTCATAGCCTGGAAATCCACACTCTAAAAAAAATTTTTAATGTTTATTTATTTTGAGAGAGAGAGAGAGAGAGAGCGAGAGCATGCGCACACAAGCAGGGAAGGGCAAATAGAGACAGAGGATCTGCAGCAGTCTCCATGCTGATAGCAGCAAGCCCGATGTGGGGCTCCAACTCAGGATCAGCAAGATCATGACCCGAACCGAAGTCAGACACTTAACTGACTGAGTCACCCAGGCGCCCCTCCACACTCTAAATATTTAACATGAAATTGTGTCCCTGGCCAGTGAGGATAGTTGGGGCGACTGGTGAAAACAAATTTAAGCCTTCTTTAGAGGGTCATGTGCTCTCCAACCAGGCAGCACACATTTCCCATATATAAAACTGCACAGGAGGCCTCACAATCCAACATTACAACACATTTGGTCAGTGGTCAACACACAGCAGAATTAGATACTCAAGACTTCATAGGATAAGAGTTTTTGATAGACACTTTAAAATAACTATTTTAAAAATGGAGACCACCCCTGCCCCCCAAAAAGTATTGAGCACTTAACAAAAGGCAATAAATACTCTATGAAAAAACAAGCAGGCAGATT